TGATGACAATAGTGGTCAGGCCCTAAGAGAAGGCCAAGTCTTGCGCACAGTAATCACTCCATCCTGTTAGAAGTAGTAGTATATTGGCCCCAAGCAAAAATTGAATTTTAAATATTAATTTTAAGTGTGCCCCCGCACACGCCCAGAGCAGATATTATTTTTAAGTGCTCGCCCGCACGCGCCCAGACCAAATATTATATTTAAGTGTGCGCTCATGCGCGCCCAAGCTTGAGAGTGCGTGCCCATGCGCGCCCAAGCTCTATATTGCTGTCAGAGTGCGCGCCCATGCACGCCCAAGCTTGAGAGTGCGCGCCCATGCGCGCCCAAGCTCGATATTGCTGTTAGAGTGCGCACCCATGCGCGCCCAAGCTTGAGAGTGCGCGCCCATGCGCGCCCAAGCTCGATATTGCTGTTAGAGTGCGCGCCTATGCACGCCCAAGCTCGATATTGCTGTTAGAGTGCGCTGCGCGCCCAAGCTCGATATTGCAGTTAGAGTGCGCGCCCATGCGCGCCCAAGCTTGGAATAGCAGTAAGAGTGCGCGTCCGTGCGCGCCCATGCGCGCCCAAGCTTGGCATTGCAGTTAGAGTGCGCGCCCATGCGCGCCCAAGCTTGGTATTGCAGTTAGAGTGCGCGCACGTATGCGCCCAGGCAAGATATTGCTATTAGAGTGAGCGCCCGTGTGCGCCCAGGCTGGATATCGTTATTTGAGTGCGCGCCCATGTGCACTTGCGCTGGATATGTGTGCGCCCAGGCTGGATATTGTCGTTTGAGTGCGAGCCCATGTATGCCCGAGCATAGGATTGCTGGCTGGGAAGATTTGCCATCACGCTCCCGTTGATTTATTTCTTTGCTGATCAGCAACACCTCATCCACATGATATTTTCCCTCGCACGGGGAACATTGGCAGTTCAGTCCCTGCACAGATGACCTGGCTCGGTCTAGCCCCAGTACATTCAGCATTTGTGACTGGTCCCTGTGCATGAGATGTTCTACTGATCAGTTGCTGTTCAGTCGGGCCCTTAAGGCGGGCCTACTTGAGATTGTTGCTGTTCAGTCGGACCCTTCAGGCGGGCCTACCTGAGATTGTTGCTGTTCAGCCGGGCCCTTCAGGCTGGCCTACTTGAGATTATTGTTGTTCAGGCGGGCCCACTTCTCGAGATTGTTGCATTTTTCAGCCAGGCCCCTTCATGCGGGCCCTTTCTTCTGAGATAGCTGCTGTTCAGCCGGGTCCATTCAGGCGGGCTTTATATTGAGTTGTTGTTCAGGCGGGCCCATTCAGGCGGGCTTTATATTGAGTTGCTGTTCAGCTGGGCCCATTAAGGCGGGCCCTATATCGAGTTGCAGTCGTAGTCAGGCCAGTCAGACAGGCCTCCACATTGATTTTCTGATTACTATCTGGCCAGACCTTCGAGGGAGTATTCGCATTAGTGAGAGTGCACCTTCTACCCAAACTGGCCCGTCGTCGTGAGACTGCCCTTACGTGGGGTAGATTGATTGAGAGGTTCTGCTACAGACATGTGGGACATCAGAGTTTCACTATCAGGGCTAATGAGTCATCGACCTCGAGACACACGCTCGTCATCACCTACTCGGTGGAGGGGGCAGAGACGGGAGTGAAGGGCACCACATACGACAGGATTGTTGATTACATATTTCGCAGGGAGAGCTATTGGAGGCACAACTAGCTACATGTGGTGTTCCCTCGCGTACCTTCAGCACCTGGGGGCGTGCTCTTCGATTTTGATGGGTGCAACCCCATGCCCCTTAGTSAGTCTYGCASYAAGGACAARAGGHGGAAGGAYGACCGRATTAGGAGAGAGATAGCCAGATCCGGGGTCCCAATCACTACATGCGTCCAGAGATCAGAGACAGATGAGTCGGACTTGGAGCCCTGCTCTGTGAGTGACATTGACTTGGGCGACTATTTCGACTGGGACACTCACAGAGGCTGAGTTTGTGGACAGTGACAGGAGCGCTGGAGACCGGTGAGCGGCGACGGCGGAAAGCGACATTGAGGAGGATCGCATATCTTCTCGCGAGGTATCTTTTTGAGGGTGATTGACTCCTACATGTCAGACGACCCTAGGTCTGAGACAGTTATTGGTCCTTCAAGAGGGGAGGGTCCGGTCCCATACCTCGGAGATGGCTATAGTCATTTGGTTGGGACAGACTTTGCTATGCAGGCTTATCGAAAGCCTCTTTACGGAGATCGCTTTCTCGAGGTTTCCTACATCTACTCTGGTGGGAGAGGACGTATTGAGATATTGATTGGAGCTTCAAGCGATATCATTCTTGCGGAGGAGCTTTACCTCAGGAGCGTCGCAGACGTCGCAGACGAGGACATGACTAGATGCATGGCCTATATCTGGAAGATTGATCCAGCAGCGCCTCTCGACATCAGCTACGTGGTTCCAGAGTCGATAGCCACGCGAGTTCTCAATGACGAGGCGCCAGATATGGAATCCCAGACGGCAGCACTCACTCACGAGGGGGTACCGCTTATTATTATTAATTGAGGTTTTTTCTTTTAAGTCACTATTGATGTATTACGACACTATTATTTATTAGTGACTGCAGCCTTCCAATGGCTGCTCCCTGCATACTTAGTGTACTACTCTTCAGTCTCGTATCTCTGGTTATACTCTTGCAGAGTCTGGTTTCTGGTCTTCTCATTTCGTCAGTGTCAATTGCTCTATGATGCATGTTTGTTATTTTCCTCCTTTTATACAGGTTACACTCAAGGCAGCTTGAAGGACTCCTGAATGATAGGGACTCCGGTGACCTTGGGTCTATCCTTTATACGGGGTCAGGTGCAGGCGATAAACCCGAACGCCTCACTCTAAGTCGTGTCGCCGCTGGCAGGAGGGATAACCTTAACTACTCGGCTGTATGACAAAGTGTGACTGCCTCTGAATACACCTCTATTTTTATACCTATCAAAATCCTGCGTGACAGCCTGCCAGTCCTCCAACCCACTGAGCTCGGTCCGGGGAAGAACGCCTAACCGGACCCTTGAAGCAGTGGGGGCGCGACAACGCGGTAGACAATATATGGTGTTCGCAGCCCTTAGGCTGCGGTATAGTGGTCTTCCGCGTCTATGTCAAGGTGTCGCATTATTGGCGGCGAGCAACCAGGATGCAACGTCGGTTCTTAGGGGGCAAAAAAATTTGGGGGACCGGTCCTTGCCAAAATTGCGGACTACCTACAGCTAGCTCTGGTATAACCGGGACTTTTGGAAAAACGAAGGACCGGTCCTCGGGTGGAAGTGGACCCCAAAAAGAAGTGGGGGGCATTGGACCGGTCCTCGGGTAGAAGCGGACCACAAGTGAGGGCATGTGAACTGCAAAAGGGCCCTCAGGCCCAGGCGTTGCGCCCCTTCTTCTCAAAACAGGGAGGTCAGGCACAACGAAACAGGCGTTTTGCAAGAGGCAACTTTGACGATTTTCTGTGCTTAGACGAACATGCACAAAAATCTGAAATTTTGAGAATCCATAGATGAGGTCGTGTTCTTTCCAGAAATAATAATAAAACATTTATAAATAATCACTTAAACTACGAAATAATCGTCGTGCCGATTCAGCACATTTTCCATTTTTTGCCCCTCAGTCATGCCTGGGCCAACTAAAAAAT